CAAGGCTCTACAGCGCCGGCGGCTTCGCGCCGCACCCTGGTTTCTTTTTTAGCTTCGCCTTCGAAGGAAACAAAGCAAGGCGGACATGGCATATCGCTCTCGGACCCACAGACATCCCGCACACCCGCCGCCACCCGCGCAAGGTCTCTACAGCAGCGCGGGCCTTCGGCCAAGATTTTTGCCGCTTTCGCAGGTTTGTTTAATTTTTTTCTTGGAGCCGATGGCTTTGTACCCGTTTGATTCGCGCATCCCTCGCCGCCGGCCGCCGGCGGTGCCACGGCGGGCCGCGCCGCCACCCCTTTGACTTGGCCTACTACGCGCTCAGCCTGGCGGCGCCCCTCGCGAGCATCCCACTCAGCCGGCATCCTGGCTGGCACTGGCTCGCCGAGGCGGCTGTCTGGTGCTCGGGCGGCTCGGTGCCGCTCGCGCCGCTGGCCGTGCAGTCGGGGCACGGCCGACACGGGCCATCTCCCGTTGGTGCTGCTCGCGTGGCTGGTCGTCGTCTTCGCGCAGTGCCTCGCGGCGCTACCGTCGCTCTCCATCCTCGTCTCCGCCACGCGCGCCGCCGCGTGACCGTGAGACGGCGAGTGCGCGCGGTCGAAAGTCCCCAACGGATGATCGGGGAGAGGGAGGGGGCGTCCGCGCGGATGAGAGACATGGATACGGGGGCGAGAGGGGTACGTGGAGCAGGGGGGGGGGGTCTTTGTTCCCCGCACTCGGCCTGCGTGATTTTCTTTATTTCCGCCGATCTTTTTGCGCAGCGCGGGCGCCGCCAGGCGCCCCCCGCCCGCCCCACAGGTCCCCGTGAACCGGAGCGAGTGAAAAAAAAAGATTGTGAGCGTGAAAAAAATAAAAAAAATAAAAATAAAAAAAGGGAGACAACAAGGACTTGAGGCGTGTCATCTGATGAGCGCGGCTCACCAGCCTCGTTAGCGGCCGGCCACAATGCGCCGCGGCTGGCCAAGGATCTCGGCGGGCTCGTTTCACACCTGCGCCATCCGGGCGGACAACTCGCTCGCAGAGTGCTGGGGTTCCAACGGCGACGGCCAGACCACCGTCTCGCCAAACGTGCCATACACGCAGATCTCGGCGGACGGGTGGCACACCTGCGCCATCCGGGCGGACAACTCGCTCGCAGAGTGCTGGGGTCGCAACGGCGACAGCCAGACCACCGTCTCACCAAACGTGCCATACACGCAGATCTCGGCGGGCTGGTATCACACCTGCGCCATCCGGGCGGACAACTCGCTCGCAGAGTGCTGGGGTCGCAACGGCGACAGCCAGACCACCGTCTCACCAAACGTGCCATACACGCAGATCTCGGCGGGCTGGTATCACACCTGCGCCATCCGGGCGGACAACTCGCTCGCAGAGTGCTGGGGTCGCAACAGCGACAGCCAGACCACCGTCTCACCAAACGTCCCATACACGCAGGTCTCGGCGGGCTCGTATCACACCTGCGCCATCCGGGCGGACAACTCGCGCGCAGAGTGCTGGGGTGCAGGAGCACCTGGCTCCAGCGACACTCCCGTCGGCCCTGGCGGCGGCTCCATCGGCCAGAGCACCGTCTCGCCAGACGTGCCATACGGGCTGCCGGCGCCGTCGCCATCGCCGCCGGCCTCGCCGCCGCCCCCCTCGACATCGCCATCTCCGCCACCTCCTTCGCCACCGCCGCCCTCCGGCTCGCCCTCGCCGCCGCCGCCCGCGCCGCCGCCGCCCTCGCAGCCGCCCTTTTCACCGCCACTCCCCCCATCGACCATCTGCGGCCTCCGGCCGGCAGTCTGCGACGGCACCTTTGAGGGCCCCAAGCTCGATCTCTCGGGCCTATCCCTCACCGGCACGCTCCCTGCCTCGCTCGCCAACCTCTCGCTGACGGATCTCGTCCTCTCCTCCAATCTTCTTAGCGGCACCGTGCCTCGACTGCCAGCGCAGCTGCAGACGCTCGATCTGAACAACAACCGAATGAGCGGCACGATACCACCTCGGCTCAACCTGCTGGCGCAGCTGCGGAGGCTAGACCTGTACAACAACCGCCTCAGCGGCACGATCCCAAGCTTCACCGAGGGCTCGGACCTTGCGTACCTCTCTGTCGGAGCTAACTCGCTCAGTGGAAGCCTCCCGCCGTCGATCGGATCGCTCACCGGCCTTGAGACGCTCGACGTCAGCAAGAACTCGCTCAGCGGCGCCCTGCCGTCGGAGCTCGGCGACTTGGCACTCCTCACAAGCGCCCACTTCCGCCGCAATGGCTTCTCCTTCCCCTCCTCGCGGGCGGAGCGGCTTGAGTACGACAGTGCCACCCGAGTCTGCCGGCCCGACGCCGCCGCATGCCTCGGTGTGCCCCCGGGTAGCTGCTCCGCCTTTGGAGACGCGCGGCTGTCAATCACTGATCCGACGCAGTGCGAGCACTGCGGCAGCATCGTAACCGGGTCCATCATCGTAGCGTCTGTCGCGGCCTTGGCCATCCTGGCGCTGGTCGCCTTCATCCGCCTCGTCGTGCGCCAACCCGCGTCGCTCAAGCGGTGGGTGTCAACCGCAGTAATCCTCATAAGCCACGCACAGACGTTTGCAGTCATTGGTAGCCTCCACCTCGACTGGCCGGACTCGGTTCTAGCGATTGCGGCTGCCTTTCGTCTCGACTTTATCTCGATCCCCGCTGCGAGCTGCTTCCTCTCCCCTGTCGACGCGCACGAGGAGGGCGACCTACCCGCGTCTCCGTTCTGGCTGTACGCGATCGTTGTCTGCGGAGGATCGTTCACTGTGCTGCTGACGACCATGCTGGCTCCCGCCATCAGCCACCGGCTTCGTATGCGGGCTGCAAGAGGCTCCGCCGAGCTCGTGCTGAGCATCGTCTTTGCGCTCCTCTTCACGATGTGCTGGAGCACAATCTTCACAACTGTGGTGCACTTTGTGATAGAAGGCAGGACGGTCAAGCTCTCGGACGGTGACAGTTTGGAGGCTCCCGATCCCATCACCACCCCGCTGCCACCTCCGCCCCCGCCGCCGCCGTCGCCACCTGCAGCGCCCTCTCCGCCCTCGGCGCCGCCGCCGCCGCCGCCGCCGCCTCCGCCCTCGCCGCCGCCTCTGAGCCCGCCTCCGCCAAGCCCTCCGCCGTCGCCGCCCTCGCCGCCGCGACCACCCCCGATTGCGCCTGATCCACCAGCCTCGCCGCCAGGGACACCCTCACTCCCACCCCCTCCATCCTCGCCGCCGCCGCCCTCGCTGCCTCCCCCATTTGCGCCGTGGACGGGGAAAGCCTTATCGGCAGTCGTTCTGGAATTGAGCATCGGCGCTCGCGTGAACGACGGACCGGCGACGGCCGCAGACATCATCGCCGAAATCATCAAGGGCATCAAAGCACAGGACCAGCCGGAGCCCGTGTCTTTTGACGTGCTGCAGCAGCTCGAGGTGGTCGCATTCCAGCCGCCCGGCGTGAGTGATGAGGACTTTGGAGCCGAGCTGTGCGGGTCCCTACCGCTCTCTTACGAGCAAGACGGGTGTGTGGCAGTGCGAGCCGAAGGCTCAGATACAGGACGCCGGCTGAGCGACGAGTCTTCGCCGCAGCCATCGCCACCGCCGCCATCGCCGCCGCCGCCATCGCCGCCGCCGCCATCGCCGCCGCCGCCATCGCCGCCGCCGCCATCGCCACCGCCGCCCTCTCCGCCGCCACCGTTGCCACCACCACGTCCGCCGCCGCCCTCGCCGCCCTCGCCGGCCTCGCCGCCCTCGCCTCCGTCGCCTCCTTTCCTCCCGCCGCTACCGCCGACGACGCCACCGCCGTTACAGCCGCCTCCATCTCCCTCGATGCCGCCCTCGCCACCCTCGTCCGTTTGGGCCATGAAAGCGCACCTGTTGGTGAAGGCGTCGAGTGTGAACGCGTCGAGCTCGATTGTCGAGGCCCCGATTTTTGACGTCAGGGTCATCGCGACGGCAAGGGTACAAAGGTTGGAGATCAAGATGAACATCGTGAGCGCCGTTGAGGATGCGACACCAAGCGCCGACGCCGCGGTGTTATCCGCGCGAGAGGTCCTGGCGGCGCTGCTGAACGGCACCGACCCATTCAGCTTCATCACCAACGAAACCTCTAAGTTCATCTATCCGCCCTTCCCGCCGCCTTCGCCGCCAACCTCGCCACCGCCACCTTGGCCACCGCCAAGCCCACCGCCGCCAAGCCCGCCACCGCCCTCGACGCCGCTGCCCTCGAGTCCGCCACCCAGCCTGCCACCACCTCCCTCGGCGCCCCTCCCATCGCCGCTGCCACCTTCCCCTCCCCCACCATCGCCACCTCCACCGAGCCCTCCGCCGCCGTCGCCGCTGCCGCCGCCGCCGCTGCCGCCGCCGCCGCTGCCGCCAGAACAGCCCGAGCCGTCGCCGCCGCCTCCACCCTCGCCAGAACAGCCCGAGCCGTCGTCGCCGCCGCCGCATCCCTCCGAGCCGCCGTCGCTGCTGCCGCCATTCTTCTCGACCGCATGCAACCAAAGCTACGTGTCTGGTGTGTTCGCCGACGGGCTCCACCATTCGGCTGGATTTTATAGATACAATCCTGATGGCATCTTGAGCGAGGAGTACAATGGTGTATGGATGGCGGCGGCTTCTAAGTACATCGCGTATGGCATCAGCCTCGACGACGGCCCCGGTCAGGCTTCTTCGACCGGCTCGCGGCTGTACGTGCTCAAAAGCTTCGACAACGGTTATGAGATTCTGCTCGTACTCGAGTCAGCCGTCGCCGATGAGGACATTATATACCGCGAGGTGACATTGACCCCTGGCCAGCGATACCCGACGGGCATAACACTCGACTGTGCTGCCCAGACGATTATTGTCACCTTAAAGCAGGGAGGCACTAAGACGCACAGCTCAAGTTTTGCGCTGTTTGCGACGCCGCCGCCTCCCTCCGCCTTGCCTGCGCCGCCGCCGTCCGGCTCACCGTCACCGCCGCCGCCCACGCCGCCGCCGGTGCCAAAATCCCCCTCACCGCCACCACCCTCGCCGCCACCACCCTCGCCGCCGCCCTCGCCGCCGATAGAGCTGCCGCCAGAAGGGTCCCCGCCAGGCGTGCGCTACGCTCCCTTGAAGTGGAGCAGCCCCGTCGCCGTCGCATTACTGTCGCTGCTGTCGATGCTGCTCCTGCTCCTGCTCTTCCTCCCGCTTCACTTTGCGCGTCAGATCGACGCCTTTACGCGGGGCCGCGAGGACAACCTCTGGCGTGCCCCAAGCTTTAGGCCATGCTTGCCATTGCGATGCCTCCGGCGCCTCGGAGTCACCTCCGAGCCCTCCGCCATCTTCCCTCGCCACCTCGAGCGGCAGGTCGCCTACCTGACGGGCCGCTTCGCGCCGCACGCGCCGCGGTGGCAACTTGTCGTCTGGCTGCGCCAGTTCTCGCTGATGTTCCTTGTCTTCGCTTGCGACCTTACGCGCGTCTACATCGTTCGCGGACTCGACCCGATGAGGTATGCCGTCGCTTGCAGCGCCATCGTCATCGTCACGGGCTTCTGGCTCGCTCACCGTCGAGTGCTCCCTTACGCTTACGACTTCCAGAATGCAATGGAGTCGCTGCTGCTCGGCGCCACCGTGCTTCTCCTGGCCCTGTCTGGCGTCTACAACGTGTCGCGAGGTGCTAGTGTTTCCCTCGCGGTCGAGGTTCTGATGTGCGTGATCCTTCTCGGGAGCATCACGGCTGGCGCAACCTACTCCGTCCACCACCTGCGGCGCAGCCGGCGCATCCTCGCCGATATTGACCTCACCGAAGTCCTCGTGGCCGCCGACTCACGGATTGACGGCAAGCTCGTGGCGAGGCTGCGCGACGGCTCCGTTCGGCTCCTCCGCTGCGACTGGCTCGCTTCGGAGTCTGCGGATGCATTCCTCGGGCGTGATGCGGACGGGACAGTGATCATGAAGCGGTGCCAGGACCTGCCCGCCGAGGCGTTTGTGCCGTGCGAGGAGGCGGTGGCGCTCCTCGAGGCCGGCGACCGTTCCGTCCTCTCGCTTTCGTACGGCTGGCTGACGCCGCTCCATCCGGATCCTCACGGCACTACTCTCGCCGCCGTGCGCCGCTACCTCGCCTCCGGTGCGGGAGGCGTCGGCCTCTTTTGGGACTTTGCGGCACTCCCTCAGAAGGATGAGGCAGGCCACCGCAGCCTCGCGGACGTCGCCATCTTTGCCCGCGGCATCGAGGTGATGGGATCCCTGTACGCCAGCATCACCGGCACGGCGGTGCTGCAGCAGCGTCAGGTGGTCGTCCCGGCTGTCCAGTCGAACCGCCCAGAGGACATCCAGCGGCAGTGGCTACAGCGGCAGATGGACTACAACGAGAGGCCGTATGAGAACCGCGGCTGGTGCCTCTTTGAGCAGGGCGTCGCGATGACCGTCGCTGCGCATCTCGCCGCAGCCGAGGCGCAGGCGGCGCGGGCTGGCAAGGAGCTACCACTCCGCTTCCGACGCGCTCAGGAGTTTCGCGCCAAGGTGTACGACATCGGAGGGCCGGAGCCCGTGGTGAGATCATGCGCTGCGAGGCCGCCGCTCGAGGTGCTCGAGGAGGCTTGCGGCGCAATCGGCTCCTCCCGCTTCACCGGCAAGGGGGATGCCGAGAAGGTGCTTCAGATGCTGGCCGAGTTTGAGTGGATCGTGCGGAGCACATTTCAGCAGGCGCTTGAATGTCACGCGAGGAGTGGGGCGACTCTGCCGCCTGCTGCGCGGGGCACACTAGCGGAGGCGAGCCGGCTGGCGGAGGCGAGCCGGCGCTCGACGAACGGCTCTAGCCTTTCGGGCTCTAGTTTGGGGTGGAGCAAGGTGCTTGGCTACCTACGCGGGTCGTCAGCAACGATGACGACGACATCGACGTCCACGATGAGTGAAGACGATGTCAATGACGCCCGCAACCATGCGTAATTGTCAGCGTGCACGTGTTCTCGTTTTCACCTAGATTCCTTTCTCCTAGATTCCTTTCTTGGCCGCATATTGCTTTTGAGTTTTGTTTGGGTGCATGAACCTGCATGTGACTGTTCATCATGTGAGTTTTCCATTCCTTTGGCCGCATATTGCTTTGTTTGGGTGCATGAACCTGACAAACACAAAACTCTCTGAACCTGCATGTGTTCATCATGTGAGTTCTCGGATCTCGGCAAAAATAGGCAATTTTTCGGTGCTGGTAGCCCCCCCAAAACAGGCGCGCGCAGCGCGCCCAGGGGCGCCGCAGGCGCCCCAAGCGGCGCGGAGCGCCGCCGCAGGCGGCGGACAGCAGGGGCCCGAAATTAAACGCCATTTTTGGTTCCGCGGTTTTGCCACTAACATTGAAATCCGGTACAAAACGACTTAGCCGAAACAGCTGACAGACAGACAGAGAGCACACACGTAGGTTCGAGACGGGGGTGCGCCGACCGCCGTCGCGGACCCAGTAGAGCTAGATGGTCCCACAGGACGCGCCCCTAGCCTCTGAGCTCGTCCTAGACGTTTTAGGGGAAGCGTGGGCAGACCAGAACGCGGCCACGGCGACGCTCCGAGGCTGTCAGCAACGCTGGCGGCGATCGTGGCGACGGCGCCTCGCCGCGGCAGCGGCACAGAATCGAGGAGGTGGCGTTGGTGGCAGCATCAAAGAGATATGAAGGCGGCCGTAATGCTGGTGGCGCCTTCGAGGGCGGCGGAGAGGGCGGTAGCAGCGACGGCGATCGAGTCATGTGGCAGGGGTGCGAAGATGCAGCAGGGAGGCTTGAGTTAGCGACGCGGGGCGGTGGCGTGCCAGCAGGTAAGCGGCGGCGGCGGAGAGCAGGTGCGCGAGAACTAAAGGCCAATCTTGAGATATCCATTTTGCACCACCTTTGGATTTCTGGTACAAATTGACTTGTGGATCTTGAAGGCACACGCAAGAGCGCAACAGGTTCGCTCCGAGGCTGCCGAGACGCTTCGCGCTCAGGCGAGCGAGCGTGCCGCCGCGGGCCGCCGGCTCAAGCAGGAGAGGGAGGCTGCGGCCCGGCGCGAGGCTGCCCTCAAGGCGGAGGCAGGCCGCGTGCTCGAGGGGCGGGACGAGGCGGAGGCTGCGCGGCGGACGGCGGAAGAGGCAGCCTCTGCAGCGTGGCCGTGGGGCGGGGGGCGAGGGGGGGTGCGGCTGCTCACGGCTCGGAGCTGCGAACAGGCGCTTGTCGCGGCGGAAGAGGCGCGACTGACTGCCGAGAAGGTGCTGGCAAAGGAAGTGGCAAAGGCGGAGGCGTCGCATGCGGGAGTGCTGGAGATAAGCCGCGCCCGCCTTATGGCTAACGACAAGCTACGAACTGAGGCCAGTCAGGCGCGTAAGAGCGCCAAGGAGCAGCAGGCGGCAGCGGAGGTCGCAGAGCGCGACGCGTCTGCATCTCGCGCCAAGGTTGCGCAGCTGCAGGGCGAGGAGCTCGAGCACCTCTCAGGAGCAGGACAGCTCGAGGCTCTCCTGGACGAGAACATCTCAGCGCTGTCTCGCATCCAGAAAGCAAGGCTAGCAAGGCTGGCGACGGTGCCGGACGACTTCAAATGCTGCATCACGCTCGAAATCATGACCGACCCGGTGATGGCGGCGGACGGACATTCCTACGAGCGTTCGGAGATCGAGCGCTGGCTCGCGATCAAGTCGACGAGCCCGCTGACGCGCGAGGCGCTCGAGCACACGCACACCTTCCCAAACCACGCGCTGCGCGGGCGGATCCAGGACTGGCAGGCTCGGTCTCTTGGGATCTAGGGGCGCACCGGGCGATCCCGAGAGATATCGTGCAATCTTGTGCGATTTCACGTGCACACTCTCTCTCGCGCGCTCTCGCAAAGGGGGGGGGGTAGAGGGGGATCGCGGCGGCTTGGCGGGCGGGCGCCGTGCTGAGGAATTTTGGTCAGACGTCTCTCTCTCACCTTTTCTTTTTTCTGCATTGTTTTCTTTTTTCACTTGGCGCCGCGCATTAGCACAGGTACTCATGGGCCGCGACTCTGGCCTTGCTCTCGGGCGGAACTGGGCGCTCAACCGCGGCGAGGTGCTCGCCGCCAAGCAGGCCGGATGGCCAGACTGGCAGGGCAACCAGGTCTTTTTCGACGTCGTGGTCGGCGGGCGGCGGGAGCAGACGATGCGGCTGGTGTTTGCGCTCTTCTTGGACGAGGTGCCTCTCGCCGCAGCCAACTTCCACGCGCTGTGCACCCAGCGCTACGAAGGGCTGGGCGACGGCGGTGCGCCGCTCACCTACCGCCGCTCGCCCATCAGCCGCGTCTCGCGCGGCGGGTACCTCGAGGGCGGCAGCATCGCGGGCAACGGCGCGGGCGGCGACTCGATCTTCGGCGCGAGCGGCTTCGAGGACGAGCCCTTTGGCCTCCGCCTCCGGCACAACGCGCCCGGCCTGCTGAGCATGGTGAATCACGGGCCGGGCACCAATCGCTCCGCTTGGCGCCTGACGCTGGCGCCCTGCCCCTCGCTCGACGGCACGCACGTCGTCTTCGGCCGCCTCGTCGCCGGCGCTGCCCACCTGCCGCTGCTCGAGGCGCTGCCCGTCGACGCGTCCGGCTGCCCCGTGTCGCCGGTGGAGGTAGTTGACTGCGGCGCGATGGTGGGATGGACGCGGCCGCCGCTGCCGCTGCCGGCCAGCGAGGAGGCGCCGCCAGTCTCACGCGAGAGCCTAAGGGCACAGGCCGCCGTGCAGCGCTCGGCAGTGGCGGAGGCCGTCGCTTCCGCGCTCGGCAAGCGCGCCGCCGATGCGCCCGCCGCCGACACTGACGCCGGCGGCGGCAAGCGCGCCGCCGTCGCGGCGGCGATGGACCCGCTGCTTGGGCTGCTTGGGGGGAGCGACGAGGAGGACGAGGACGAGGAAGGGGGAAAGTAGAGAGTCCGAACAAGTATTTGCGGTTTTATCGTTTGGCGTTTTTTGGCATTTTTTGCCATATACCCGGGGGCGCCCCGCGTCCCGGGCAGGGGCCACGGGCCAGGGCTATATAACGTAACGTAAGTCGTGCCAAAGTGGTAACCCTAACCGACCGTAGAGCCGTACGGGTTTCTGGGACTGTGACTATCTGTCTCACGGCAAGAAATCACGCCTCACTCCCTCAGGAGTCCTGGCGGCAGCGACACTGTGTGCTCTAAGTGGCTGAAAAGTTAATCAATTGTTTTTTGAGCCCCTACGCCCTCGGGACGCGCACCGCGCTACTGCTCCCGGGCCAGGGGTGTAAGGGAACACACTAGGGCACACCAGGGCCGGTCTAGCCGGCCTTATCCCGCCCACAGCCTTCGAAAACGCACAAAAATCGCACCGCCGGAGCCGCGGCGAATCGCCGCTGGAGGCCGCGTGTCGCGCCACCGACGGCCGCACGTCGAACCCCCGGCTCCGCGCCGCTGCTCCACCGCGCCGGCCATCCAGCGCGCACCCCCCAAGCTGCTGGTGCCCTCTTAAAGGGCCACAAAGCCTCGAAAGGAGCCGTCGACCGTCACCTAACAGAGGGGTGTCGGCCCCGGGCTCGCCGCTCTTGCGAGCGGTCGGCGGCGTCTAGGGCGGAGCCAGCGGTAGTAGCGGTGGTGCCGGCGTGTGCCGTGACGGAGGGGGTGGCGGCGGGGCGCGGACGGCGGGGTGCGGCGGCCGAGGCTCGAGCGGGGGGGGCGGAAGCGGTGGCACCATCGTCGGCGGAAGTTCGACCTGGCGGGTGAGAGGTGGGAGGCGCCGAGGGCGGAACCGCTGCGGACGCGGCGATGGATACCCGACCTGAAACATCTCTAGTGCCGTGTATCCCGCCGCCTTGAGACCTTCAACGTAGCCCGCCTTCTCCATTTCTGAGAGTGTGTATCCAACCGAACGCGCTTCAGTCGCCGAGTAGCCTCCTTTATATTACCCAAAAGCTAGGCTACACAACGCCCTCTATGTTGGGTCAAGGCGGGCGCCTAGAAGAAAGCGCCGCCCCCCGAGGGGGAATCCCACCCGTACCCCGAGCCCCCGTCGAAGAGCGCGTCGAAAGCGTCGTCGCCTTCGTCGTACTCCTCCGCGTCAAAGCACCGGACCGGCTCCCCCCGGCCGTGCTCCCTTGCCCAGCGCATCTGCCGAACATGCGCACGCTGCTCCTCGCGCGCCCTCTCCTCCGCGGCGCGCGGCGTCCACCCGGTGGACGCCAACAGCGACTCGAGCGTCGCGCGATAAATCGCCTCGCCTTCCTCGCGTGATACCACCTCGCCCGCCTCCTTCGCCACCGCCTTCTTCCCACGCCGCGATAGCTTCTCGCCGCCCTTGCTCGCCAGCGCCGGCGATGCCGTGGCGCGCCCACCGCGCCCGCGCGCCCGCGCCTGAAAGGTAGCCCTGCCGTGCCCGACGTCCCCCCGCGCCCGAAGGATGACCCGCGCCTCCTCCTCCGTCACGGGCGTCTCGCGACCCCCTCGCGCCTGGAGGATAGCCCGGGCCTCCTCGTCCGTCACGGGCATCTGCGTCCTGTGCTGCAGGGCAATCCTCAGCGCCCGGACGCGCTTGTCCTCCTCGGCCGTGGCCGCCGCGCTCGCCTCCGCCGCCCCAGAGCCCCCTCCTGCCACCGCATCCTCCGCGTCCGCGCCGCTGTAAGTAGAATCCGAAGCTCCGCCGGACGCAGCAAGTGGCTGCGAACTGTGCCCGGTGTCGGTATGGCGCGTCGCTGAAGGATCGGCAACAATTAGGGTCTTCGGAGCGCGGCGGCCCGCCTCGGCGGCGGCAGCGGCGCCCTCCACCTCCTCCTCCCCCCCCGCGGCGGCAATCGTCCCATCGCCGCTAGCCGGCAGCGCGGGCGCCACGGGGTCCATATAGGCCCCCGGGGCGCCGCCTCCGGTTCCGCCTTCCGCGGCCTGCGCACTGCAGGCGCCGCTGTCCGCCTCTTTGGGGCGCGCGCCGCCGCGGCCCTCGCCGCCAGCCGCGGCCCCGCCGCCGTGCTCCTCGCCAGCGGAGCCACTCCCAGCTCCGCCGCGGGGGCCGCTTGCGGCAATCGCATGCCCGTCTGCGGCACGCGCGGCACCCTCGGCAGCGTCCGTACCGCCGCCGCCGCCAGCGCGCTCGCCAGCAGCACCATCGCCGCCGGCCATCGCGCTGCCGCCCGCCTGCGCGCCAGTCGCAGCCCCAAGCGGGGGCTCGACCAGAGACAGGGAGGCAAAGGATGACAAAGCCGCCTCAGCCGCGTCGCAGCTGTTCAGGGCCGGCAGGCAGCGGCACAGCTGACGTTGCACGGTCTTGCCGAGGCCGAGCCCCTCGAGGCCGTCCTCGGCGACCGCCTCGAGCAGCGCCGCGACGTTGCCGACGTCCTGGGCCAGCAGCTGCGGCACCACCTTACCGGAGACGAGCGCAGAAACGCGCGCCCGCTCCAGGAGGGCCGCGATATCCTCGTCGAGATCGATGGACGGCCGCGAGGCCGCCATCACCGTGGCGCCCGGCCGCGCGGCCCCGGGCTGCGGGTCTGTGCTCGCCGGCGGCGGTGGAGCGAGAGGGAGCGAGCAGTGTTAGCCTCCTTTGCGGATTGCCACGAGCCCGCACCCTGCACGCTTTGCAACGGCGCAAGTTTCGCCATTCGCCTTCATTGCGATGCAATCGTCCACAGCTGCCTCAGGTCCCTGGGCACAGGCTGCGCTGGGCTGTGCCAACCGCAACTCTGCTAGCTCACTCCGCAGAGCTTGCACCGCATCTTCAAGCCAGACGAGCCGCGTCTGCACAGCAACCCCGAGTCCAGTCTCGATACCCACAGCCAGCTGTCGCGCCGTCGGGCGATCATCAGCAGCGGCTGCAGCGGCGACGGCGAGGACAAACATCGCCCTGGGAGACCACATATGTGTATGGCTGACCGCTGTTGGTTTGTCCCCTCGTCCTCCGGTCGGCAGCTTGGTTTTGTAAAAAAGAAAACGTGCGGGCGAGTGGTTTGTTTTTTATAGCGAGTAGCGCGTGAGCCCTCTTCAGAGCGCGCAGCGACTCGCGGGGGAGCAACAGCTCCTGTGCGTCAGCCTGTTGCGTGTTGGAGCTTGGGGGACGCTGGTGTGTGGTGACTGGCCGCTCCGTTGGACGTTTTGAAGATTAGCGTGTCAGAGACAGAGTGGAGAGTGAATTGGAACTACATGTACGGTTTAGCCAAAAAAAACCATAGCCCCAACCCGCTACCCGGTATTAGGGGGTAGCGGGGGCCTACTGAGCGGCCGCAAGATAGTCCTACCTCCGGTTCGCCGACTCGGCCACGATCCGGGCCCACTTTCGCGGCCCACTCTCGCGCCTCGCCTGCCAGGTGTGTGCGCCGCGTCAAGTCGCCCCCGCCCAAGCCCCGGCGTTTAAGTCGCCCAGCCCGCCCCCGGCTTTTGGCCCCACGCCACGTGCTCGTGTGGGTAGGTGCGGCAGCCGGGACGGCCGCAGAAGGCCTCGGCGCACTCCTCCCCCTCCTCCTCCGAGTCCGCCGCCGCCGCCTCCACCGCCAGCCTCGCAAGCTGGTCTCTGACCCACGACTCGGCGGCGTCCTCCAGCGCTCGCGGCTCGCGGACATCGGCCAGCCCGTCGGCCGACGCGGTGACCGCGCCGTCCTGCACCACTAGCAGCGCGGGCAGCCGGCGAACGAACGGGAGCACCGCCGGCGGGCCGTCGTCGGCCGAGCAGCGCACGAGCCGCACCTGCGGCGGCGCGGTCGACGCGGCGGCGGCCAGCCGCTTGTCGATGCAGGCGCTGGTGATGGAGTCGCTCCGGGCGAGGTGGAGCACGATGGGCGCCTCGCCCCGCAGCCGGTCCACGAGCGCCGCCTCGTCCAGCCGCTGGTACGTCCCGGCCTCGCGCCGGGCCGCCGCGGCGCCCTGGAGTTGCGCGAGCCGCGCAGCGCGCATCTTGCGAACGATCGCCGCCTCCATCTCGTCGTCATCCTCGTCGTCCGAGTCGGAGCTCTGCGGCGCGGCGGCGGTGCCCTGCGTCCCCACGCTCGCCTCCTCCGCGCCGTCGCCGTCTTCCTCACACTCACCACACAAGCAGCCACACGTCTCTGGGTCGTGGAGCGTGTTGAAGGCGTGCTGCCGCAGGAGGTCGCCCTTGAGCAGGCGCGCCTCGGACGCCTTGACCGCCGCGCGGTGCTTCGAGCGGGCCTCGGCCTCGCGCGCCTCCTGCTCCTCGCAGCAGGAACCCAGCATGTGAAAAAAAAAAGCCGTCCTTGTCGTGCAGGCAATCACGTGGCGCTGCTATGTCGTACTCAGGGGGAAGTACCCGGTATTCTTTCTTTTTTTGTTGCCGCGCTTCGTATTGTCGCACCTACACCCTCGCGTATCGCACACATGTCGCGCCTTTCGGGCCGCATGCGCACCCCGACGGATAAGGGGAGAGCGATGGCCGGCGAATGCGCCATCGGCGGACGCGACAGCGGCAAACACCGCAGCGGCGGAGGTGGCAGCGGCAGTGGTGAGCGCCCGGGCGAGATCCTGCCAGACACTGACAAGCGTCTCTGGGAGGGCGCCGAGAAGGACGGGTGGGAGGTGCGCCGGCTGGGAGTCAATCTGAGGGTGTGGAGCGGGAAGGGCGTGCGGTACCCGAGCGTGCAGGCGGCCAAGGACGCGATGGGCCTCGACGCGCAAATTTCTTTTTTAAACAAGGTTCTGTGTGTCTCTCCTGTGTGACCGTCACCGCCCGTCCCGCGTCCACCCATACCGCGTTGGTGTTCCAGTAGTTGGTCGGACTGTGTTTCGCCTTCCTATATCATGTATGTATTTACGCCACATTTGTGTGGCAAACGGGAAATATATCTCTTGATGTATACGGCTCTAGCCCCCCGCTACCTCGGCAGGGTTCCTCGCCCGGAAATGGTGGGCCAAGGGAGGCAACCCTCGCATCTCCAACACGAGCCGGGAGCCCCACACGCACGGGAGAAAGGAGGCGGCCCTGTCTGTGGAAGCGTTGGAGAATTCAAGCGAAGCGCTCCGTCGATAAAATCGTGACGTGACGGAATCGCGTGTCGGTCGTCTGGCGAGAGCGGAGAGAGATGTACAAAATTGTTCAACGAGAAAAACACGGAAGATTGACGGCAGTCACACAGCGTCATCCAGCCCCACCGACCTAGTCGCGAGGACCCCCCCGCCCCCCCCCCCCCCCGACTCTCGCGAGACGCGACTCTCAGACTCATACAGACGTGAGACGTGCCAGTACGCAGAGTCTGCCCTACGGCGCGGGTCGCTCACCATAAATGCGCATTCCCACTAGGCCCTCACGCAAAGAGCGCGTCGGGCCGTGCCCCTCTAGCATCCTGGAAATGAGCACAGGACCGTGGGTCGTCCATGTCATGGATACGGTCAGTGACGACTGATCGTCCACTACTATTCCCGACTAGTTTGCGGTTGCGCCATCGCTAGGTGGGAGACGCGGCTCCCACCGCCCCACTGGCGCTCCACGACGCAGCAGATGCCACGCTCTGAACGCCGCTCACTCGGCTACACGTGCTCTGCCGATGCCGACGTCGATGCCGACGCCGCCGACGCCGAAGCCACTGCCTCGGCTTCTCCCGAGGTTGAGCGCTCTGAGGCGCGGAGCCGGAGGCCGCCAAGGCTGCGGAAGGCCGTCGACGTGCGGCGCACGATGCTCGATCGGAGGTCGGCGCTCGACTTGACCGGAGTCGCGCCGAGACCCTGTGCGAGGAGCACGAGCGACACCTGCGCGGGAGCGGGTTGAGCAGCGCGGCGTGGCGGCCGGTGAGCGACCACCAGGCGGCGAGGGGGGCGAGCGCGCGCCTCGCGGTGGCGCCCGGGGAAGCACGAGCGCGCGAGGTCCTTGTAGAGCCCGCCCGCGATGAGCTCCTGCGGCGTTGGAAGGAGAGGATTGTGGGGGGAGGGGAGGCTCAGGACGGGTGTCACTCGCTCCACCTGCGGCGTGGTCTCAAAAAACTTGGCGAACTCGCAGCCGCCGAGGTCCGGGTCGTTCTCGTGCGCCATGACGATCGGCAACCTGTCCTGGCGCGCCTGCGTAACCTGCTCGGCCAGCCGCTCGTCGCTGAAGCTGTGCTCGTTGAGGTAGAGAAGCATGTGGGTCGCGTCGCCGGCCTCCTCGGCGGTGGAGACGGTGAGGCCGGGAAAGGCGGCGACGAGCTCCTCGGCCAGCTCCCTCGCGCCGGCGTTGGCCGGAGAGGCCCAGACCTTTGCGAACGTGGAGAAGCCGAATGCCCTGATCCGCAGCTCGCCCGTCACTGTGAGCGGAAGGGAGGTGCTGTCCAGAAAGTTGGGCGAACAAAGGAGCAGCGCCTGTAGAGTTCAAGTGGGGTTGGTCGGGAGAGGGACAGGACTGCGGAGCGGCTGGCTGCGGGCGGCGGCGCCTCGGCGGTGATCTTGAGCGAGACGAGCTGAAACTCCTTGATCCGGTACCAGATGGTGTGCCTCCAGTCCCTGTCAAAGATGTCGGGCTGGAGCTCCTCGGGGCACTCTGCGCGCAGCGCTGGTAACGTCCCGCCGCCCTTGGCCGGGTCGGCCTCTTGGACGAGGACGAGCGGCTTGCCCATCTCGAGCGACGAGCGGACCTCTCGAAGGCAGTTCTGTGGCGCACAGGCGGGCGCGGGGTAAGGCAAGGGTGCTTGGGCTATTTCAGAGACAGGATAGAAGCACGAGGCGCCTTGGACTTGAAGTAGCCCCTCGAGAGGAAGAAGAGGATGACCTGCGAGCGCTGAATGTACTCCTCGAGCGCTCCGATATCCTTGAGGTCATCTACCTATGCGCGCACCGCGGTGTGTCAGAGGGGCTTTGCTCGCCATGCAACGCGACTGGGCAGCATGCGCGCGCGTCGAGGAAGATCTTGATGCCGGGCAGCAGGATCTGGAGCTGCTTCTTGATGACCGCGACGGCGTCTTGACCGGTACTCCAGATGTGGCTGTTGAAGAGGTGCCACGTGATGCCCATCCCGATGCTCAGCTCGGGCGGCTGCTTGGTCGAAACGAGGCGGATCGTGGGAACCTCCTTGGCGTGGCGGGCAGAAAAGACGGCGCCGATGAGGAAGAAGAGCAGCGTCACGCCAACGAGGAGGAGCATCGAGTTGATGATGCCAGACAGGTTAGCGAAGCCGAGGACTGCTTCGGCGTCGTCGACGCTGGAGCGCTCAATGATGCCGAGGAAGATGCTCGTCCAGTTCGCGGCGAGGAAGAGGAGGAGGAGCACGAGGCTGGTGGCCTGCAATCCAAGCCGTGCCTGGCTTTAGCAAGTGCAAAGGGGGTGAGGGGTGGCTGGGTACACAGGCGCACCACAGCCAGCACGTTATCCTCGACCCGCTTGAAGGGCCGTGCGACAGCGAGCACGACGGTGTAGAAGGAGCAGACGAGGGTCGCCACCACGAGGCGGAGAAAGGCGTTCTTCTCCGGGATCAGCAGCACGAAACCCGTGAGCACGAGCTTGCGCGCCAGCTCAACCGCCTCCCACCAGTAGCATTTTTGCTTGTACTCCCGGTGGAGGAAGGCGGTGGCCCGCGTCAGAGCATTCGGCCTCTTGGCCTGTAGCGGCTTGTAGCAAGCGACGAGGAGCGAGATGAAGAGGATCAGCGATCCCGCAGGCCACAGGGCGATAAGGCCGAAGGCGAGCTCGGTGACTGATCCGTGTTCGTCGGTATAGCACTCGATGCTCGCGTCCAGCCGCATGTAGGAGACCTGCTCCAGAGGCGCGTCGGGCGGAGAGACGGTGTAGGCCTACGAGCGACACACGGCGAGCGCTGAAGGGGGGTCAGGTTCGGCAGCAATCAACAGTTTGGGTGCATTACCTTGCATGACCACGCGCGGAAGATGGAGGCGCTGATGGAGGGCACGAAGCAAAAGATGAGCACCAAGCCGGCTGGCGTGAGATCGAGGACGCCGAGGGCCGCCTCTGCGATCCACGGCCTCGCACGCGGAGCGTCCTCGTCTGTGTTTATCGCGTCAGCGATCGCCGACATCACCGACATCGATGCTTCCACGAGGTTGAATGCTGCATCGGTGTCGGCTCCCGGCGTCGATGCTTCCATTGGGCGCGGTGGCGGCGCGGCACGCCAGCGGCGGAGCCGCAGCGCGATTCCCGTTCCCATGAGCAGGGCGATGAGAGCGATGGGTGAGAGAGCATTGGCGAGGAGTCGCAGGCCGTAGCCGAGGCACTGCTCCGGCAGGAAAATGCCAGACCAGTCGATTGAGACCGGCTTGGCCAGGTTGTCGGTCCAGCCCGTGTACTCTGGCGGCAGCCGCGCCGAGTAGGTGGAGGACAACACGGTGCAGATCTGGTAGAAGCCAAAGAGCACCTTGGTCTTGGCCGTGAGTCCGATCGCGACGTAGATGTAGACGGCACGGTCGGCAAAGCGGAGCACGCGGCCGATGTAGCGCTCCTTCCGCCATTCCGTCTTGCTGTAGGCCCAAGCCGCGAGGCCGCACGCGGCGCAGAGGGCGAAGACCATGGCAGCGATGCGTGCCGCCGCCGCGCCGCGCGGAGCGCACTCTTTGCACTCGTCGCCGCCGACAAGGTAGTGATTCTCCGCGGCGCAGAGCTGGCACTCGGGGCCAGTGAAGCCAGTTGCGCAGTACTCGTCCGAGCCCGCCTCCTCCAAATGGCGAGAACCCTGTTTGGCTCCGCGCTCGTTGCCAACGCACCGCGCCTCGCCGGCCCTGTCGCCCCCAAAGTCGCGGCACGCCGTCAGCACGGCGCTGAAGGGGCTGGCGCGCCAGAAGCCGGCCGGGATACCGAGGGACTCGAGAGTCGTGTTGACTGGGCAGTCGGCGTTCGGCGGGCAGGGCTTGCAGAACTCGGTCGGGGATTTGAAGATGTCGTCGGGGTCGGCGCTCGAGAGCAAGTAGTAGTCCTTCATGCAGACGGAGCAGATGACGTCGCCGCGCGCACTAGCGAGGGGATGAGGACAAGGGATGCACTGGCCCTGGCCAGCGTTGGCGGCGCTAGAGCCAGCCTCACACAAATTGCACGAGTCGCTCCCTTGGTTCGACGCGGTGCCGGGAAGGCAAGGCTCGCATTTGGACTGCCCCTCGGTTGCGGCAAAGGTGCCAGGCGAGCACGGCGTCGGATCAATGCTGCCCGTGGAGCAGGCGCTGCCGGCGGGGCAGACCGCGCACTCGCCCGCGGCGTCGAGGTTCGTCTTGTCCGAGTAGCTGCCAGCGTCGCACGGCAGCGGCGCCGCCGCACCAACAGCGCAGTAATAGCCCGGCAAACAAGCCTTGCACTCCGTCGTTCCCGGCTCGTCCTGGTACGTGCCGCCGGCGCAGAGAGTGCACTCTCCCTGCTTGTACGAGTCCGTGTACGACCCCTTGGCGCACGGCGTCTGCTGCGTCGAGCCCGTGGTGGCGAAGTGGCCCGGCGAGGCGTCGGTGCACTCCGAGGCCGCCGAGAGGTCTGTGGCGCTCGAGAATGTGCCCTTCTCGCACGGCAGTGGCGCCGCGGCGCCCGGCTCGCAGTAGCTGCCTTTCTCGCACGCGAGGCAGCCCGTCGCACCCTTCACGTGCTGGTACGTCCCGCCCTCGCACGGCTCGCACTCGGAGAGGCCGCCTGTGGCGGCGTAGCTGCCCTTGGCGCACGGCGTCTGCTCAGTGGAGCCCGTGGTGGCGAAGTGGCCCGGCGAGGCGTCGGTGCACTCACTCGCGTCGGCGAGGTCGGTCGCGCTCGAGTACGACCCGGCGGGGCAGGGAAGGGGAACGCTCGTCCCCTCCGGGCAGACGTGGCCAGCATCGCAGGGCAGCGGCTCATAGGTCGCCTCTGTGGGACATTGGGAGCCTGCGGGGCATCGGCCAGCGCAGCTGCTGCTCGACTGCTGCTCGGGGTCGGCCGAGCCGAGGAGGCCGGCGGCGCAGGCGTAGGGGAAAGCTTCCTCGACGGGCAGAAGTGGCAGCTGGTAGAGGCTCTGGCCGAGGAGGGAGGGGTCGCCGCCCCGCGAGCTATCCCAGTTGCACTGCTGCACGACGGTCGCGTTCTGGCAGTACCACGACTCGGTGACGTTGCAAGCCGCCCGCATGTCTGTGTCGGTGTGCCGCCCGCAAGCCGCCAGCTTCTCCTCCGACGAGGGCTCGGTCGCATTGCTCTCCGTGAGCGCGCAGTCACCGCGGTGCTCGAGGCAAGCCTTCTGCTCTGGCGAATCGGAGGCTCTACCGTAAGCGCACGCCTTCCGGTACACCTCGCAGCGCGCGTTTGGCAGCCAGTGGCCGGCCGGGGCGGGGAGGGCGTAGGAGACCTCGCCAGCGAGCAGAAAGATGGAGCTCCCCTGTCCCGTAGGAGCGGAGCAGCCGCTGATGAGGGTGCCGTCACTCAGGGAGGTGCGCCCGCCCTCCGAGTAGAGGCCGCCGCCGTACTCTGTGGCGATGCAGTTGGAGATGCTGGAGCGGTCCAGGCTGGCTGAGCCCGACTCCACGTACACTGCGCCGCCTAGCGAGGCATTGCAGCCGGAGACGGTGGAGTCGGTCACGATGAGTCTCGCCTCCCCAATGGATGTAGCTCCGCCCTGTGAGGGGAGGCGAGAGGCGGCTGTCACTCTCGTCTTGTCTTGAGACTACCTATTCTGAGCGGTGTGGCGCACATAGTAAGAAGAGCAGCCCGCCACGGCCGAGCTGATTATCGAGACCAGACCGTCGTTATAATACGCGTCGACGACGCCGCCGTACTGCGGTCGCGAGGAGAGAGCGGGGTGAGTCAGCCGTGGCCGTCAATATCTTTCGCCCCGCTGCCGTGCGGCGCTGCAGGGCGAGCTGCTAGCTCTACGCGGCGCACATAGCCAGCCGAGCAGCTCACCATGGTCGAGCTGATTATTGAGACCGCACCGCTGTACTCCGCTGAGACGACGCCGCCGTACTGCGGTTGAGAAAAGAGCGGTGTGAGACAGCGTGGCCCTGTCTATCTCTCGCCCGCTGCCGTGCGGCGCTGCAGGGCGGGCTGCTAGCTCTACGCGGCGCACCCATTCAGCAGAGCAGTCCCTCACGGTCGCGTCGATGATCTCGACGTCGCCTGCGCCCAACGCCTGCACAACGCCGCCGGTGGTCGCCCTCCCGTTGACGAGGGTCAGCCCCCGCAGGGTGAGGCTGCAGCCGCCCGAGAGGGAAAAGAGCCCTGTCTCTCCCTGGCCGTCGAGCGTCGCGCCCTCGCCGCTGCTCGCAACGGTCACTTTGATGGTGGAGGTGCACGTGACCTGGCTGCTTAGCTCGAAATGCGCACTGGGCGGAAGGTAGATTGAGACGTTGGCAGCAGTAAGAGTAGCCTCCTCGATTAGGGAGCGGAGCTCGTTCTCGCTCGTCGCTGCGACATAGCCGGGGGAGAGCGGCGGCAGCGGCGGCGGCGGTGAAGCTGGCGGCGACGGCGGCGGCGGCGGTGAAGCTGGCGGCGGCGACGGCGGCGGCGGTGAAGCTGGCGGCAGCGGCGGCGGCGGCGGCGGCGGCGGCGGCGGCGGCGGCGGCGGCTGAAAGGGTGGCCACGACGGCGGCAGAGGGGGCCGCGGGGGCCGCGGGGGCAGCGTCGGAGGGGAAGGTGAGGAGGGAGGCCTTGCAGCCCAGCACACCTATAGGAAGGGTGGGAGAGGCTGGGTACCAGGGCTGGGTGAGCGCGAGAGCTAGGAGGGGCAGCGTGCGGGGAAGCAGAGAAAGGAGCGCGCGCCTTCCAGCCTGGCCTGGCCGGGGACCATGACATGGTGACCCACGTCATAGTCCCATCCGACGGCACGACCCCGGCCGGGCCCGAGGTGCCGCAGTACTTGACGCCGTTGACGACAAGGTGGTCGAAGTAGCAGTCATTGGCGGTGTCGCCGTCGCCGTCGTAGTCGTAGAAAGGGTAGAGGTCTCCCTCCACGTCAAAGGCGATCACGTCCAGCCCGACCGGCGGCAGGTTGGAGATGGTGCAGCCCTCATCGAGAGGGTAGTCGTTCGGGAAGTTGGGCGAGGTGGCGCACGAGCCGCCGTCGGTGATCAAGCACGGGCCGTCAAGCTCGGGAGACGGCGACGGATCGATGTAGGAGTTGTCGAGCTCGGCGCCGTTTAGAGGAGCGACCGGTGGCGCGATTGGTGGCGCGAGTGGTGGCGCGATTAGTGGCGCGATCGGGGGTGCGGACGGTGGCGCCGCTGATGTGCCGCTCGCGTCCTGCAGGAAGATGATCGCAATGCAAACTCGGAGAGCACGCGGACAAGCGAGCAAATGCACGGAGCCAGCTGCATGGCTGCAGCCCTCCACCTTCTTCTTCTTGATCTGCTGCCCTCGCAGCAGCCCGCGGCACGCCGCGAGGAGCAGCGCCAGCACGGCCGCACATGGGTGGAGAAAGAGCAGGGAGGCCGCAGAGAGGGCCGTGGCGGTCGTGAAGCTCGCCTCAGGTGAGGGGTCGCCGATCTTGGTCGCGCCGGAAGTGTCGACAAAGGATGCGAGCTTGGCGTAGGCGCCGCTGAGCTTGGAGGTCATTTGGTCGGACGTGACGGCGGTGAGAGCGGGTCCGCCCTCAGTTATGCCCGTCTGATCGGCCTCGATCTTGGAGTGGGCCGTGGCGATCGTGAAGCCCGTCTCGTCGGTCGTGGAGCCCGGGGCTGGCTGTTTCGGAAGGGCGGGGGAGGGGGGGGGGTGAAGAGGTGGGGAGGGCGGCGGAGGCCACAAGCGTGGTCACGAGCGAGCACACACCAGGTGGTTGGCGGGCACGCTGTCCAACGAGGCGATGTCTGCAAACGAGCTGGTGTCGCCAACCTCGCAGAATCCGTTGAGCGATGACGGCGCGAACGGCTTTGCGACGGTTGCGAGGGGCGATGTCGGCCACGGGGAGTCGTACCACCGCGAGGAGAGAAGCGCGGTGGTGGCAGAGTACGAGGAGAGCGCAAACGCGGCTCCGAGGCAGATCAGCGCGAGGATGCCAAAGAGGCGGAGCGGGCAGATCTTGGGCCACGAGAACCAGCCGGTGGCATAGCCCTCGAGCGTGGTGATCGTGGTCGTCTCGATGATGACCGTCGCGCCCTGAAGCGGAGGGCGCGAGAAGTCGCCGTGTGAGCGGCGAGCCGGGGAGAGGCCACATATGCAGGCGGCGGGCACCGCGTTTGCGGTCGACGGCGTGGATCCGCGCGTCACTTTGGAGCGCTTGCCGGTGCCGGTGCCGCTGCCCTCGTTGCCGCCCGCCCCGAGCAGGGCCCCGTACCCGTTGCTGCAGTCGACCGGGGCGGACGCCCCCTTGCGCTCGTTGTTGCGGCGCGACTTCGAGGGGGTCGTCCACTCGGAGACACCCTGTGCACACGCGCAAACGGTGGGTGCGTCAATAGTTGAGCTCCGCGTGTGCCCGCAGCGTGCGAGCGACAATACGCACCGGGACGGATTTCTCCTCTGGAAACTCCTTGGCTGAGACGGTCCAGTCGGCGTCGCCCTACGCAAAGTAAGCGGGGCGGGTCAAGGGGTCGGCAGACGCGAGGCCGCGCGCAGAGTGCCAGGCGCTCGCCGCCGGGGCGGGCTTCTCCGCAAACTCCTCGATCGACGGCAGCGGCGCGCCGCCGGCGGTGACCGGCTCGAGAGCCGGCACGTCTTTGGTGACCGGCTTGAGAGCCGGCGGGGCGTTTTTGGTGACGCCGATGGCGGCCGTCGGCGGGTCGGTCGGGCGCGCAAGCTTGGACCAGAAAACGGCGTTCGCGCTCGGCTGGTCGACGGCAAGCATGGCCTTGGCAAGGTCCGAGTCGACCTCCGCGGCGGGCGCCGTTGCCGCGGCCAAGTCTTTCTTGAGGATGCTCTCATCGAGGGAGGCCTCCGCGACAGACTTGGCCACGGGGACGCCCTTCGCGACGTCGTTCTTGGCGCCGCACGCCTGTGGGCGAGGGAGAATACGCACGTGACCTGGCGTGCGCACGTCGTGGGCAAGCGTGATGCCAACCTTCACGGGAGCCATCGGCGCAGACTCGCCCTCGGACGCGACGGCCGTCCCGCCGCCGTCGCCGATGACGTCTTTGAACGACGCGGGCTCGATGCTGTCGGCCTTGCCTCCGGCAGCGTCGATGACGAACGGGGGCGGCGACGGAAGTGGCGGGCACGAGGTTTTGTCGACGGTGAACGTGAGGCGCCGCGCGGCCTTGGCGGATGAGTCGAACGTAGCGCCTACCGACGCCGCAAACACGACGCCGACATACTCGAGCGAAGCAGGCTCGCCTTCGGACTGGAAGACGTCCTCGATTGAAGCAGGGTCGCCCTCGGACTGGATGCCGGCGGCCTCGCCTCTGGGAGGTTTGACGGTCGTGTTGCCCGCCAGCGAAACCTGTGTCAGCCAGAAGGCGAGAGGATTAATCTTGCAAGAAACGCAGTGTCACGTGCACGCAAGCATATGCCTGCTTGTCAGCAAGCGGCGGCGGAGGAGGAGAGAGCTTGAGAACGAGCTTGTTACCGGCGGCCGGCACGAACTCGAGTTTGAGCTTTTCGAGCATGTTTAGCCTGCAGCGCACGATATGCACGCTAATGAGTCAATACGGCCGGATGAGTATAAAAGCAATCATCAATTATGAATTATAACTATATTGAGGCGCCCAGTACAGCGCTGCAGCTGCTGCACCAACTACTGAGTGAGAATGGCTAACTGCCACAGACTTGACACGTGTGACTAAATTGTGATTAGTCCCTAATAGTAACCACGAGACGGGAGAGCGTTCCGCGTTAATGAGTGAGGGCGTAATTACGCAATCCTGTGTCGGTCTCGGCTGGGATCTCGGGTAGATCTCGGAACCTCTGCGCGCGCAGCGGCAGCGCAGCGGAAGGAACACGCCTACGCGATCACAACCGTGTGAAAGAGAGTCAAAGAAGATGCCCTTTGTTTATGAGGGATCATGCGGGTTATGAAGGCATATAATAAAATCTCGGGCAACCTCGGGCAACCTCGCCTAAAAAGACAGAAAAAGAAATCAAAAACCTGCTGCGCGATGCAGGACTGACGCAAGCTTGTTGACCGGGAAGGGTCGAGCCGGAGAGAGTAGGGCTGCGCCTGCGGACAGCACGCCGCGGCGTGAGCGTCGAGACGAGGCCGCCGGCACGCGCTGTCTGTCGCGTCCGCGGCGCTCGGGACTGGAGCCTCGGGCGGCGACTGGCGAGCGAGCGGGTTGTGGCTTGAAGACAGGAAGGGAGGGCCGGCGCTGGATAAGAATGGCGAATGGGCAGAAATGGACGCGTCTCGCGGCAGCGGCCGCCACCTGCGAGCGGGAGGGTGCAGGCGGTGCCAGGCTGAGGGGGGCGCGGCCAGGCTGAGGGGGGTGCAGGCCGTGCCCGAGGGCGCATCGCTCGCCGGGAGCGGTTCGGGCACGGCGGGCTTCGCGAGCAAGAGGCGTCGCGGGGATCCAGGCGTGCAGCTTGCGGCGGTGCGATGCGGCGGGGCAAGCGCGAGAGCAATGGGAAGGTGAATGGTTAGCAGTGGCTAGCCTTGGCGTCGGGGAACCTGCACTGGAGCTCCGAGCTCCGAGGAACGGGCCTGTTGGGAGTGTGAATACCCCATTCGTGTATAGAGAGATGTCCCTGTTGAGTACTGTCCGATAGTCGAGATGCCTTGTTCCAGAGGGATGTGTCCTGGACGGCGTCTCGTCGTGGTCCTTCAGGACGATAGATCTAGCTTTGTCCCTTTCAGGACGATGGTGATCTTGGTTTGATCGTTCCTGTACGCCTCGGTACAGACCCTCGCTCCGTGTACAGCTGACGCCTTCTCTCACCGCCCTCCTCTGCCTTTCGCCTCTTCGCTTTCGCTCCCGCCGCCCGCCGCCTGTGGCGCGGCATCCGACTACACGACGACATTCGGGAGTGCTGGGGGGGGCGATAGGGGGAATGTGGCCCTGAGTTATGTGTACGCCAACTCAGGGTGTGTGGCAGCCAGCTGGTTGTGTGTCTTGTGAGCCTGTTTGTGTCTTTGTGTCGCCCGTGCGTGTCGTCATCATCTGTCTCGCGTCCACCCATACCGCGTTGGTGTCCAGTCCGAGCCTGACTGTTGTTCATCTTTCTACCTACCTACCTACATTCGTGGGCGATGAGGAGTCAGGCCGCACGGCGGGCGGCGGGACGGACGTAGAAAGACGCAACTCCTCGCAGCAGGAACCCAGCATGGTGATGAGCACCGCAAATTTCTTTTCCAAACGTTGAAACACACTCTTTCTCTCCACACCGAGCAGCCCGCGAAGGCTGCGGCCACGCAGACGGGCCCAATCGCTGGCCCAATCGCTCGGCATGCCATGGCTCGTGCGACCTCGCGGCGCCTGGCTCACCCGCGTCTACTTTTCGCGGATGCTCCACGGGCGCGGCGTGTGCCGGCTCGCACCACCGGCGGCCGTCGCGGCTCTGATCGGCGGCTCTGGCGACGCGATCTCGCAGCTCGTCATCGAGGCGAGAGCAGAGGTAGACGCTCCGCGCCTGCTCACGTGCGCATGCCTAGGCTCAGTGATCGACGGCGCGATCCTGCAGAGATGGTACGCCAAGCTGCAGCGGCTGGAGCTCGGGCGTGGAGCCAGCGCGCTGCTCGGCAGGCTGCTACTCCACCACGCCGTGTTTGCCCCTGCCTTTGCGATCCCCGCGTTCATCGCTGCCACCAACTCGACCGGCGCGCGCGATTCGAGGGCCGCGGCGCAAAAGCTGCGACGCGAGTGGCGCCCTGCCGCGCGGGACCACTTGCTCGTCGTCGGGCCCGGACAGCTGGCCAATGCATGCGGGCTGGTCTCCAAGTCGCACGCCGTCCTCTGGGCCAACTTGTGCCAGCTGCTGTGGGCGACGGCGCTGTCGTGGCGCAGCCACCGGCCCGATATTAGCCGATAACAGGCACAAACGGATGGTGGGGACTTGCGGTTGTGCGCGCGTGCACGGGCGTGCACTGGCGCTGTTTGTGACAAAATTAATAGATACAACCGGATTGCGGATAAGAAACTACTCTTAGTTTACCCAATACGACGAGACGGCTTACCCATTGCCCCAGACGACGTTGAGTACCGGAGACAAACATGCCGCGTTGCAGTCACGCATCCTTTCGAGGAGCTCTCTCGACACTCGGGTCACTCCCTTCTCTCCCGAGACCCACACGAGCCGTGTCCCGAGCCAGTAGGTTGATGCCTCAGGCGCGGCGCCCACCGCGCCACCTCCTACCAGGACCTCGCGCGTCGATCCGGCTGCCTCGCGCGGCCCCACTAGCTGGAGAAGAAGGGCTCGAGCACCTCCTCCCACGCGTCCTGCACGATGAAGTCGCCGAGGTAGCCGTACAAATTTACTTGCTCCTTGGAGTAGGCATCGATCTTGCAGCCGCCCGAGAACGAGAGGTTCTGCCCGATCGTGAGGAGGTATGGGAAGTTCTCGCCGCCCAGCTTGAGCACCTCCGGGCCGACGCGCGCGGCCCAGGAGCCCTCGATGAAGCCGTCGTCCTGGACCCACGCGCCAATCTGACCGCTCTTCTTCATCTTGTAGTATCCGTGCTCTCCTGGCAAGTGGTAGTAGATGACCGTGAGGTCGACCGTGTTGGGCGTGCCGTCCGACCGCGTGGAAAAGGTGCCGTGGAAGGGGTTGTCGACCACCTGGATGTCCTTGATGGTGGCGACCAGCGGCCTGCCTTGGTCGTAAAGCTGCGAGAACTTTTCGAGAAGATCCGGATAGCGCGACGAGTCAAAGACCTGGTTGGTCACGTAGAGCATCACCCCAGACGGGTCGCGATCCACGGCACTGGCGGGGAAGATGCCAAAGAGGGCGGCGAGGTTGAAGTCGGTCACCGGACAACCGTCCGGCCCGACGCAGTCGAGGTAGCCCTTCAGACTCTTCAGTACCTGGGTGCGCATCTCCTTCTCCGCCGCCTTGGACGCGATCCTGCCGCTGTACTTCTGCCTCACCGCAGTGGAGGCTTGAATAGCGGCGATAATGATCTCCCTTGGGCACGGCCGGAATGGGGTCCCTGGTGACGTTACCGTCATGATCTTGCGCGAGCCGCCCGCTGCGATGCTCGCAGCGACGCCCGTGGTGTCGACAACGCCGCCGTCGGCAAAGTCGCACATCGCCTCCGAACGTACACCCGGCGCAAGGCTGGCGTCCTTTGGCGCGGTGTTGACCGAGAGCCGGCCGGTGATGGCCCCAAAGAATGGGTTGAGCATGGAGCTGATGCAGCCCGGCCACTCGTTCAGGTACATTGCAAGGAAGTGGCTCGAGAAGGAGGTGAGCACCTCCAGCGACATCTTGTTGGCCGAGGGGAGCCAGCAGCAAGGCCGCTTTAGCGTCTTGGGGACCGCCTGGCTCGGAGGGGTAGCAACGCTGTTGAAGCGCACCGGCGCAGGCGGCTTGCAGCAGCCGCACTGCTTGTCGGGGAAGCTCATCTCCGTCGGGCCCTGCATCTCGCCGTCGGCCGCGTTGACATAAACCGACTGATACATCGTGCCAGTCGCAGCAGTGGTTCCAAAGAAGGGCACCGGCGAGACGCCGTGGTACTTTTCGCGGGCGTCGATGGCAGCAGTGAGGCCTCCCTGCGCCGCCTCCTCGCCCATCTTTTGAAGCACATCGAGGCCTGCGGGGATTGCGTCAAGGCTTAGCCGTCGGGCTATGAAGGAGGGGGGCTAGGGGGGCGACAACCGTTGTTTGAGGCCACGCCAATTGGCATGACCATAGCAAAGGTCCCGAGCGGAAACGGCCCACGCTGCTCGCCCGTGGGGTTGGCAGCGGACTTGCCACTCAGCCGTGGCCAGAGGTACTCATCGTCCGCAGCGGCAGCCAGACTCTTCGCGTCGGCCTCGCTGGGAGCAAGCACCTTGTTCTTCTTGATCCCGTATGGCGCGAGGAAGGTGCGGTGGATCGCATCCACCCACAGAGAGTGGCAGTTGGAGCTTCCTATGCCGCACCGGCTGAAGCAACCGGCCAGCCCATACCACGGCAGCTCGCAACACTCGCGCCCCCCAAACCTCCTTACAGCAGCATACCCCATCGTCTTGTCGGACAGCTTCGCCAGGTCGCCCGTCGAGATCGCTTCAGGCTCGTGATCGCGGTCCGTGTCAAGAAGCGCGCGTTGCGCCTCCGTCTCCTCCAGATCCGGGTGGCCAAACAGATAGATGGCCGAGACCCAGAACCCGCCCGACACGCCGGCAATGGCGTCAAAGTCGTTCAACACCCCCTTCTTGGCAAGGCCGCGCATCACGCCGTACCCTCCCGACAGAGCATGGTTGCCACCCCCGTTGATCGCCAACGTCATGTTGAAGTCGTGGGGGAGCGCAGCCCCAATGCCCCGGCTCTTCGTCTTGAGAGACGAGTGAGTCTGCAGCTTCTTCCGGCGGTTGGCGATGTACACCTCGTTTGGCTTTGGAACGGTTGGCTCGCTTGGGGGCTCCGCCATTCAGAGAGGCTGGCGCTTGGGGACGCGCGTCAGAGCTGTCGGCGCCGTCGCGCGACAAGCCAATTCCCGAGTTCCGATGCGAGATCCAAGCTCAAGGCCGCCCCACCCCCCACGGTCGCTCCCCAACTAGCAGGTAGGGAGAGAGGTGAAGAATGACGGCTTGTTTCCAGGCAGGTCTGGGAGAAACGTTCAAAAGCCGGGCGGGCGCACACTGCGGCTTTTTTGGAAACAAAAAGAAAGAAAAGCGAACCCAAGGGAGGGATGGGAGGACGGCACGCCGCCACCACACAGGGATTTTCGTTGTATATGGCTCTTACGTACATTCCAGAATTCCAGTAGGAGGAAGACTCTGCTATGTGTTGTATGGTAGGAAGGTGAAGAACAGTCAGGCTCGGACTGGACACCAACGCGGTATGGGTGGACGCGAGATAGATGACGACGACACGCTCTGCTGACAGGGTTTGCGGTGAGGAGCGACCCGAAGGGGTTCTCGGAGGTTAGTGCACCACTAACCGCCGAAGCGCAAGCGCTTGGTCCTTGGAGCAAGAGAACTGATTTTAAGGAGAGGAGTGCGGTGCGCTAGCCGTCGCCCACCTTGGGCGTCTGCCTCTTCACCTATCTCTCTTCGCAGTCAGTCCTCGCCGATCGATTCTCGCTGCAACCTTCATGCCACCTCGCGGTCGTCCCACTCTCGTCGTTCTCTCTCTTGTCGCTTCTTCCTCTGTCGCGTCGCTCTCCTCTGCCTCGTCCTGCGACGCCGCCGCCGCCTGCCGATTTTACACACACACACACACAAACGCACGCGCTAGGTCTCGGGCGGCGAAGGGGCCACACCCGACGACCTCGGGAACTAGCCGGGGCAGTCGGAGAAGGGGCAACTCCGTGCACTGACGGTCGGCCGTCAGAAAACACGCCTGCGTGGATCGCGTCACACCAATCCTCGCTACCCAACGCGGCCAAAGGGTATCCACCTCGAGAACCTCGAGAACCGCTTCTCGCGTCTCTTCTCCATGACTTTCAAGGAGCACTTGGAAGGGTTTCTCGGAGGTTAGACGTTAGTGCACCACTAACCGCCGAAGCGCAAGCGCTTGGAGCAAGAGAACTGATTTTAAGGAGAGGAGTGCGGTGCGCTAGCCGTCGCCCACCCTTGGGCGTCTGCCTCTTCCTATCTCTCTTCGCATGCAGTCAGTCCTCGCCGAGATCGATTCTCGCTGCAACCTTCATGCCACCTCGCGGTCGTCCCACTCTCGTCGTTCTCTCTCTTGTCGCTTCTTCCTCTGTCGCGTCGCGAGTCGACTGGTGTGTGTCGTCGTGGTTTCGTATCAAGAATACTCACTCACTCACACGCTCTCCTCTGCCTCGTCCAGCGACGCCGCCGCCGCCTGCCGATTTTACACACAACGCGGTATGGGCAGCCCAAACGAGGGATGGGGGGAGGAGGACAGGGTCCCCACCTGCACGAGCCGGATTTTGGAATCTCCTGCTCCTCACACCACGCGCGTTTCTTTCTGAGGGTAAAATTCTTTTTCTCCTGTTGAAGGCGCGCCTGCGAGCGGCTCGCTGCAATGGCAAAGCGCAAGCCTTGGGAGGAGGCTGGGTTCCGCTGCCCCTACCTCGACACTATCAACCGGCTCGTCCTCGACTTCGACTTCGAGAAGGCCTGCTCGGTGTCTGGCAACAACTTCAACGTCTATGCGTGCCTGGTCTGCGGCAAGTACTTTCAGGGCCGCGGCAAGCACACGCAGTGCTACACGCACGCACTCCAAGAGGCGCACCACGTCTACATGAACCTGGGCGACGGGCGCGTGTACTGCCTCCCCGACGGGTACGAGGTCATCGACTCCTCCCTCAAGGACATCCAGGACATGCTCGACCCGTCCTTCACGCCCGAGGCGGTCTCGACTCTCGACAGCGTCCCGGTGTACGCGCGCGGCGTGGACGGGTCGGACTACATGCCCGGCCTGATCGGCCTCAACAACATCAAGGGCACCGACTCGGTCAACGTGGTCGTCCAGTCCCTCGCGCGCGTCCCGCCGCTGCGCGACTTTTTCCTCCTCCCCTCAAACTACGCGCACCTGCGCTCTCCGCTCGTGGCAGAGTTTGGGGCCCTGGTGCGCAAGATCTGGTGCGATCTCGCGCTATCTCGGGCGATCTCGGAGCTGCGCGCCGCGTTATCTCGGGCGATCTCGGAGCGCGCGCGCGCGCGGCGCGCGCGCGCACACACACACACACACGCCGCCGCCGCCGCCGCCGCCGCCGCCGCCAAACCCAACGAGATCACACCAGTCGCCGCACAACTATCTCCCCATATCTCCCCATAGGTCGCCGCACAACTTCAAGGGCCAGGTCTCGCCCCACGAGCTGCTGCAAGCCATCATGTCCGCCTCTGCCAACCGCTTTAAGATTGGCGAGCAGTGCGACCCGATGGACTTCCGATTAATTAATTCATTCATCTTAGTGAACTCATTCATCAGGCGAGCAGTGCGACCCGATGGACTTCCTTGCGTGGCTCCTCAACTCGCTGCACACGGCGCTCGGCGGCACTCGCAAGGCTGGCTCGTCGATCATCCACCGCACCTTCCAGGGCTCGGTCAAGGTGACCACACTCAAGGCTCGTGGCGAGGGCGAGGAGGAGGCGGAGGAGGAGGAGGCGACGGCGAGGGAGCTTCCCTTCCTCTACCTCACCGTCGACGTGCCGCCCGCGCCGCTCTTCAAGGACGCGCTCGAGCGTAACATCATCCCGCAGGTGCCGTTGTTGTGATCTCCCCATATCTCCCCATATCTCCCCATATCTCCCCATATCATCCCGCAGGTGCCGTTGTTTGCGTGCCTCGCAAAGTTTGACGGGTGAGGGTTAGAAGTCGGCGTAGCGTAGAGCGCCTTGTTGGTGCCCTCGTAGCACGCGCGGCCAACGCCCTGCAGCACGTAGCACGCCACGAGTGGCACGTAAGCCTGCAGCGCCACCTGGGTGAGGGTGAGGGTGAGGGTGAGGGTGAGGGTGAGGGTGAGGGTGAGGCCTTTTCCCCCCGGCCATGTAGCCAGACGCCGCAGGAGATGATGAATGGGGACAAGCGGCGGTACATCATCACGAGGCTGCCGCGGTACCTCATCGTGCACATCAAGCGCTTCTCAAAGAACACGCAGCACTTCCTCGAGAAGAACCCGACCATCGTCAACTTCCCGGTTCGCAACCTCGACCTCTCCAACTACGTCGAGATGAGCGAGGAAGAGCGTGCCGCGGGCGCAATCTCCCCGTACCTCCCCACATCTCCCCACATCTCCCCATAGGAGGAGCGTGCCGCGGGCGCAAGCCACAAGTACCACCTCATGTCTTCGATCCAGCACGACGGCCCCCCCGACACCGGCGCCTACCGCGCCTTCGTGCACTTCAAGGCAAACGACTCGTGGTACGAGATGCAGGACTTGCACTGCAACGGCGTGCACCCGCAGCTCATCTCCGTCTCGGAGTCGTACATCCAATTCTATGACGCCGCCGCCGCGTGAAGGCGTGAGCTGCTGTGAGTCGCACAGCAAGAGCTTTGGCGGAGTGGCGGGCGGGTTGAAGGGGGGTTCGCGTATCCCTTGGCAGTCGGTGCTGCGCGCGTACAGTATTTAGCCCTCGGTACTACAATAAAAAAGCGCCGCCTGTCGCCCCCTCGAGCTCGATCCCTGCCTCCCCCCAAACACATACACACACACACCGCCGCGTGTTGCGCGCCGGTGCCGGTGGCGGCGTGCTGAGAAGGTGAGAAGAAGCTGCTGGAGGGGACCCGTCCGATCTCCTGTGAGTCTGTGGGCGTGTCCCCGTCTCCTCTCGGCTTCTCGCTCCCCTCCCGAGGCTGGTCCGTGGCTTACCGCGAGCGCACATGCAACAGTCTGCGGAGAAGAAGGCCATGGGCCTGCATATCGGAAGTATCTCCCCCGCGCACCACCACGGTAGCGGCGACGAAAAGCCAAACACGTCAGCCTCGTCCGGGGCCAAGTCACCCCCCGGCGAGCCCAAGTCAGAGCTCAGACCTTCATCATGGACATTTTTTCGCCTTCATCCTCCTCGAACGCCGTCCCCGTCGGAGAGAGCACAGAATAGTGCTTGCCATGCATGCCCAGGTGCCTCATCATCTGGCACGTTGAGCAAGGTCCGCACCAGAAGGCGCAGCAGCAGTCCTCGGCGCCATTGATGCCACAGCAGTCGGCGCAGTGCTCCTGCGGGATGCGGTCCTGCTTGCGGATCGCGCGACGGATGACGAGGACAAAGACAAACATGGCACAGAAACTGGGCGGGCGACGGGAGGGAGGGGAGAAACGTGAAGGGCATACCAAGAGGGGAAGCGGCCAGCTTAAATGCAGCGCATGATCATGCTATCGTACTATGCAATTCAGTAGGCGGTCTGTGTCGGTAGAGAATCCACCTGGCTGAACTGAGCGCAGTCACCAGCGGGTGGGGCAGGCACGCGTTCCCTTCCTCATCGCCTCCGAGGAGGGCGGTCATGTTAGTGAGCGGAGGCGCCAGCTTGAGGGGCACGTAGCACCGAACGGGATTGTCTGTCTGGTCCTCAACGAAGGGCATATCTCGCATGTAGGACTGCACAGACTGGTGCATCGCAAAGAGCGTGAAGAGCAAGAGCGTCACGAGCACGCAGGGGTAGCCGAGGACATTGTGGGCAAGCTGGCCGATAGCGACCGAAGGGAGGCAGCAGACAGTGCAGCAGGTGCACGGGTCCTCGTAGCACGCGCACGTGTGCGTGTCCCATCGGCCCGCCATTGCCGCAAAAAGGCCAAATATGCGTCCGTCCGCTCCGATTGTCTGGGCTGACGAGGACCGGACTTGAGGATCACGGTCTTTTATTGAGCACTTGAGCACTGGATAGGGCCGATTCCGCATGGTACGGGACCCCTCGATCGTCTCGCCCTCCCTCACTGATGTGTTCATCGGGGGGGGTCATAACAAACACGGTACAGGATCGAGGTGCACGCTGCCGAAGCAGTGTCGTCCCCCCTCTCCCCGACGGCGATGGCGGTGTGACCGAGTAATACCAAAAAGAGGGCTACACACGGCCCTCTACGCTGGGGCGCCGGCGCCCTACTGGGCGCCCCCCGCTCCCTTCCCCTTAGAGCCCCCCATCCCACTAGCATTCCCCCGCGGTCCCTCGCGGTCGCGCGACGCCGCACCAATGGCGCGCTGTGCCTCGTCCGCGAGCGCCGTCCAGAGCTGCACCGACAGTCGCTGGACGCTGCAGCGCAAACGGCATCCATTCGCGCGCCGACCACGACGTCTGGTCGTACTGCCACCACGTGAGCTTCCGGCCCGCCACCTTAGCCACCCGCATCAGCAGCTCCTCCACCCCCGCGCTCATTGCGCCGAACTCCTCGAAGAGCAGCGCCTCCACGCGGCACTTCCCCTCTGCGTCCGTGTACTGGCCCTTGACAGCCTCGACCGTCCCGGTCCCCGTCCGCGGGTCCCACATCCCCACCCTCCCGCCCCTGTCCCCGCCCTCCACGCCCAGAACGTCTCGCGGGCGCGTGGCAGCGTGTTGCCGCAAGCGACAAACGCCCCCATGCGCCCCACCCCCGAGGGGTCCGACGGCACACCGCCGAAGATCACACCGCCGAAGATCTTGTGTCGCCGATGGATCACGGTCTTTAGTCCTCCATGAGCCCGCCCGACATCGCCAGCAGCCATGCAGGCGACCGCGGCAGGAAGCTGCTGGCGGCCGTGGTGGATCTGGATGGCAGCACTAGTACTCGGCGTGTTTCTCAGCGCGTGCACCTCCTCGTCTGCCCTGCTCTCATGCACCGGCACGTTGGAGAGCCTATGCCCACGCACTGGAACCGTGCGGCAATGCGACGACTGCGCTGGCTCGCATCAGGCGGACCTGCGGCGCGCCGGGTGCAGCGGCGCCCAGGAGCGGGCGTGGTGCGCTGCGGCGGTGCCCCAACCGCCGCCGCCGCCGCCGCCATTCTTTTTCGGCGCCGCGACGGCGGCCTACCAGATTGAAGGGTTCCGAGAGGCAGGCGGGCGCCAGCCATCGGTCTGGGACGCCTTCGACACGGACAACATGTCGCCCGCCATGCCTGCGAGGAAACCGAACGGGGAGCCCAATGTGCACAAAAATGAGAGTGGGAAGATCGCAGACAGGGACTACGCGAACTTCCCTCAAACGACTGAACTGCTCCAGCACTATGGGTTTGACGCCTACCGCATGAGCCTCAGCTGGACCCGCATCCTGTCGTACTCGCTGGTCGGAGATTGCGGCCAGGGGGGCCCTACGGCTCATCAAACATGCTCACTCAGCCGGCCGACGGTGAACGAGGCAGGGATTCAGCACTACGTCGAGGTGCTGCAGGGGCTCAAGGCTGCGGGGCTGCTCGTCGCGGTGACGATGTGGCACTGGGACACACCGCTCGTCGTGGAGGAGTGGGCCCAGCTCACACAGTGCGCAGAGACCAACCAGTATACGAGGGACACGACTGGCTCAGCATGGCTCTGCCCTGCCATCGCGGATCTGTTCGCGGAGTATGCCCAGGTGGTCACCTCGAGGCTTGACCACTACGTCGATCACTGGATCACGCTCAACGAGCCGCTGACGGTGGTCGGTGTTGGCTACGCCCCGCCCGCCAAGCACGCGCCGGGCCGATGCGCCGATCGCAGCCTGTGCTGGGCTGGCAACGACACGATCGAGCCGTACTATGCCGCCAAGAATATGATGCGGGCTCACGCGAAGGCGTACCGCGCGTACGACGGTGGCTCGCCCATGGGCTTCGCCGCCAACGCTGACTGGTTCGAACCCGTCTCCGGCTGCGCCGCCGACCATCACGCTGCCGCGAACGCCATCGTGTGGCAGATCGGCCTCTTCTGGGACCTGCTGGCCACAGGAGATTGGGCGCCCGAGATTGCGAAGGCGGTGCCACACCCCCGCCTGCCATCTCTCTCCGCAGAAGACAAAGTACTCCTTCGCGGCGCGCATGGCAGTGTATATTATCAGAACATGTACACGTCGCATTACGCGTGGGCTGTCGGGGACGTCGGTTCTGAGTGCCCCAATGCGAGTGCGTCATGGCGTGCCGCGCCCCCCGATCAGCAGCCTCCTTCTTTTGGGACGGACAACTCAGCTGGCACGGGCTCTATCAACCACGTCACGGGGCATGTGATCGGCCCAGTCGCCCCGGGCTCAGGTTGGCTCCGGTTTACCCCTACCGGCTTGCCGAAGTTGCAGCGTTGGATCGCTGCTCGGTATGCTGCGCTGGACTTAAAAATCGTAGTCACGGAAAATGGCTGGGGTGGACAATACCCAACGGAGCAGGATGCAATCAACGATATGCAACGATGCCAGTATTATCGGCAGTATATCGGCAACATGTCCAAATATGTGCCGGAAGATGGTACCTATGAAAACGGCCCACTCATTCTCTCCAAGCAGAAGCCCACCATTCTAGGCTACTTTGCATGGAGCCTGCTGGACAACTATGAGTGGAATGACGGCTATTCGCAACGCTTTGGCATCACGCACGTTGAGTTTTGTGGGGCGCGCAACGATCGAACGTGCATGCAAAAGCGCACACCCAAGATGAGCGGCAGCTGGTTTGCAGAGGTGCTCAAGAACGCATCCTTCCGCGAAGCTGACATCCACAACTGGGGGGAATTACCTGCGTGCAAATTTTACTAGAATCGAATGCAAATGAAACGTATGTATGTCTGTATTGTGAGACGAGATGCAGTCGCTATGCCAGCTGCTCTCCCCTTGTAGCATAGTTACAGATGTCCTCGTGTGTGCCTAGAAAGCTGGTCACGTCTGCTGCTCCTGTGGCCTAGTAAAGCCGTAGAGCCGTACGGCCGCACAGCCGTACGTACAACTGTTGTGGTGGGAGCCTAGCCGCGAGCAGCGGATCTGAATGAGAGGATCTGGCTGGCTGGAAGATATGGCTGGCTGGCGGACGCGACGCGTTCTGAGAGCAGGAGAGGACGCTGCCGCGGTCATTGCCTGCTGGAGCTGCCTGCGCCCGCTAGATCGACAGCCGTAGCCAGCGCCGCCTGGCTGGTTGACGGAGTACAACACGTGCTGTGAACACGACAATACATTCACCACACATGCACATGTGCATGCACATGTACATGTTGTTGTGCATGTGCATGTCACGAGTTGTGCTATCTAGTAGCCGCGAGGTGGCCGGCCCGCCTTCGGCGCTCCGGACACAACTGCACAGCCGAGCACATGTACATGTGCATGCACATGCACATGTCCCAGATGAGCCAGTCACACGATTATTGTAAAAGCGGGCGGCGCTATTGCATATGACCCATAGGGGAGCGGTTACACATAAGGACAATTGGCTTATCGCACATGTCAATCGGGGTCATATTATTACTTGCCGTTACTTTTGATATCAATGCTTTTGACGTCAGAAAAAGTGTTGGGGGTCTGAATCACCGCCCCCGTGCCTCAAGGCCCCGTACGACTGTGCGTACTAGCTGCCTAGTAGAGTAGCGTGCCTCAGCAGCAGGCATGGCATGGCGGCGCGGGCTGCGGCCGCCCGCCTGCCTTGCTTCGCAGAAGGACGGCTGCTGGCGACCAGGGGCAGTGAAGGAGCACAAGGCCAAGGCTTGCGCCAAGATGTTGGCTGCTGAAGCCATGGTTGACCGTAGCAGCCCTACCGCCGCCACTACTGGGCCTGCAGCCGGCCGTCTGTCCAAGCTTCACCTCCATATCTGCTGCTCGCCACTGGGCAGTGTAGCTGTTGCAGCTACCGGTCCCGACACCGGCCTGCACGGCCTGTCGGAGCACGAACGCTACTTCTTCGAGACGAAGGGATACCTGGTCGTGCCTGACATGCTGACGCCCGCACAGGTGGACCGGATGAACGAAGCTATTGACCAGTGTCCCCAGCAATGCAGGCGGAGGGACTGGAGACTTTTACAACAAAAAGAGCGATATGCTACAGGGAGCATGATGTGGTTCGTGCGCGTGCGGGTGGGCCCGTCCTTCAACCTTCATTGGATCGTCCACAAGATTGTTGGCTTGGATGCGACCTAGTCAGCACACGCCACACGGCTGAAGTTTGTGAATCGGGTCGGGTGGGTGAGTGAAGGGGGGCGTGGAGACCTTATGGCCGTAGAAGTCACTCGCCAACGCAACCTGTGGTAGGTAGGGCACGCTCGTGAGATTCCGGGTAGGTGCAAAGGCGGGGCTATTCGTGGGACTCGCCGTGGACGTTGCATCCTCGAACGCCTCTAGCACAGGCTCGCCGATGAAGTCCGCCGGCTCGTTGATCCACGCCGTCATGAATGCAACGCGAGGCCGCGGGTTGACGTGATGCAATGGGATGTCAGCGAGGCTCGGCAGCTGCTCTTGGGCCATGTGGTTTGGGGTGAGCGCCTTCTCTGGGGGTGCCATGACCGCTGCATCGCCGCACCTATTGAGAGGCTAAACTTGTTCGGCTGTGGACGCCCGATCTCCCTAGCATCCCAGCTCACTTGAACTTGACAGTGCACTCGGCGGGAGGCGGAGCCAATCCGCACACAGCGGCGGTGACGCTCGCCTTGGACAAGAGCGGGGTGTCATGGCCGAGTCTCGGCAGATAGTGCCATCCGGCTGGGTCTTCACCTTTAGCGTCCTCAGGTAGGAGTTTGCGCCCGTCATGAACGAAATCCCGCGACTCGCGGTTTTGCCAGACGTGCTGATGTGCTCTGGAGACACTTGTCTCAAGTCAGTTAGCGCAGAGCCTCTCCCGCGACGCCGTTGTGGAACTTGCCTGGTCCCACGACTATGTCACGGTGGACGGCGACAGCGGGCCCCAAAGGCCCGTAAAGCGGCTGGCTCTCGCTGCTGATGCGGGCCCTGCGGTGGAGCGCGAGACGCTCGTGAGCTATACCGCCAAGGCAACCTTCAGAGGCTCGGAGCACCGCCCGTGCATGTTTCGTACCTCGCTTTGCCCAAACGACTGCGGGCATGAGATGACCGTCTTCCGCTTTCTGGTGCGTTTTCCGCGAGGGCGGCGGCGGTGGCGGCGGTCTGTGAGGGCGGCGGCGGCGAGGGCGGCGGCGGAGAAGGCGGGATCAGGGTGGAGGCGGTGAGGGTGAGGCGGGATGCGGGCGGGGCCATAGCGTAGCCCTCTCACACCTCCGCGCCGCGGTGCACAGCTCGACGAGCTCTCTGTCGAGAAGAACGACGCCTCGTCCCACGCCAAGTGGGTCACACTCGTGAAGCAGGGCTCGGAGCACCTGGTCTCGGAGCGCGATTTGCATGAGCACCTCGCTGTCGCGCAGCGACTCGCCCCCGATATGGTCGTGGAGCTGGCCTGGACTCATGACTATGTCACGGTAGACGGCGCGAGCGGTCCTGACAGGCCGGTGAAAATGCTCCAGACTCTGTGCCAGCCGGCGCCGGTGGGCATGGTGCAGAGCGCCATCAACGCCGCCGAGGACCTTGTCGGCGCGGATCTGGCGCGCAACCCCCCGCGATACCATGTCCGAAGACCCCTCGCTCGCGTTGCCCTCTCCATAACCAGCCGCCCCCATGGACCGCATAGGATGGCGACGGCAGCATCGGCGGAAAGAGGGCTCGGCAGTGATTTTGGGGGTGTCCGCGAGGTCAGAGTCGAGAAGTGGGAATCTCCCCGGACCCCGCCACGTATCGGGGCGTTACGCTCATCACTCACGACTCATGCACGAAAACAAATGAATGCGGTTAGAATCGTATGAGTTCGGCGGCAAGATTGTCTCGGTGACGCGACAGAGGGTTCACTGGTCCTGTGCATGGTGGATTGGTCGAGACGACACTGCACAAAGCATGTGCGCAACGACGAGAGCGGTAAAGAACCCGCAGCCACAGGCATCCGTACATGCGCGGAGAGAGAATGCAGTACATGCGCGGAGAGAGAATGCAGTACTAGTGGGGGAGAACCGGAGGCGGCAGCCCGAGCGGCGGCGGCAACTCGGCGCACGCCATGCCAAAGAGCTCTGGCGTCGACAGCAGCCCGAGGCAAGCGTCGGCCAAGTTGGGCGAGAGCGGGAAGGGAATGGGCGAACAGCCAGTCTCCGTGAAGCAGCAGCTGAGCGTCTCAGCCGCCGCGAGCGTCCGCATCGAGTGGACGCGGGACATCGGCGAGTCTCGCCCGCGCTTGAGCTCCGAAATGCTCCGAAATGCCTCGCTCGTACTCGGCGTCGGCCCGACGGCACCCGGCTCGCTACACTGCCGAGGCGGCTTGCTCTTGCGAGAACCAGGCTGTGGCTGTGGAGGCGTCGGCGTGATTGGCCGTCGCCGCTTGCCTGCATCACGCTGGGTCATCTGCCTGAGCGCGGCCATCCCGTCAGGCCCGACCAGGCCGACGGACCAGCCAAAGGCGAGAGGTGGCGGGAGAGCGGCGAGAGTGGCCACCTCGAGCGCGATAGAGCGCCGTCGGGACTCGAGTTCAGCCGCATCTCTGCCCATCATGGCTGCGTCCTTCCATCAGGTTCGTTACATTCCAAAAAAAATGTTTTTACGGCGCGAGAAACTGGCAACTGCGTCCTTCCATCAGGTTCGTTACCTTTCCTTGTTTTTCTTTCCCCACGCCTCTCTGGACGCGCGTGCCCCTGCCGCTTCACGCCCTCTTCCACAATGTCTTCGCGTCTCCTTCCGCCCCGTCTCCCGACTTCAAAAATTGTTTAGTAAAAATCCGCATCGTTTTCTTGTTAACGGCGCGAGACTGCTGCCGCAGCAACAACTGCCGTTGCCGGCAGATGGACACGGTCCGCTACGTAGCGCTTCCCGACCGCTGCGGCCTCTGGGGGTGCACGCTTTCGCGCACCCACACCGGCATGTGCAACGTCGCCTTTGGCGGGTCGCGGCGGGAGCGGAAGGCCACCGCGCTGTACGACGACGCGGCGGAGTCTGCGCGGGTGCAGCGGATGAGGGAGCGTGCCTCGGAAGGTGAGGGGCCGTGGCGGCGCAGCGCGGACGGCTTTCGACGGGCTGCGCCCGCTAGAAGCCGCGTCTGCGCCTCTCTCGCGACCAGTGCCGACGGCCGCATTCGGCTCACGCTGTCCACCGCAGTGTCACAGCCTCGGTCGCGGCGGCGCAAGTCGGGTGGCGGCCCGGCGGCCGCGGCCGCCCAGGCCGAGGGCGCGCGTGCGGAGGGAGCCTCCGCGATGGATGCGGTAGGCGAGTCGGAGGCGGGGCGGGCAGAGGCGGGACCCTGGGAGGAGGCCGAGGCAGCCGTGAAGCAGCCTGTCGGAGCGTCGAGGCATCGGCTGCCGGGAGGGTACCAGGCCGGCGAGCTGGTCTATTACGCCGGCCCGAGCCACTCCTTTCCCGACGGCGACCGGCTTCGCCACGCCGCGCGCGGGCAGGTGCGCCGTGCCGCCGGCTGGCCGTACCAGGGCCGAGGGCTGCAAGTGCTCTTTCCAGGCAACGCGGAGGGCGTGGACTGTCCGCTCGAGCAGCTGAGCCGCTGCAGGCCGCGGGAGGGGGAGCCGCCGCCGCCAGAGCCGAGCTCGGCGGCCGCTGCGCCGGCCGAGGGAGAGGAGGAGGAGAAGGCGGCGGAGGAGGAGGAGACGGCGGCGGAGGAGACGGCGGAGGAGAAGGCGGCGGAGGAGAAGGCGGAGGAGAAGGCGGAGGAGAAGGCGGAGCTACCTCCCGGCTGGTCGGCGGCCGTGCAGCAAGGGCCTTCGAGGAGCTGGAAGACCTTCCACGGCCCTGGTGGCGCGAGGGCGCGCTCAAGGAAGGAGGCTTGGCGCATCGCCAGCACCGCCGCCGCAGGGCACCGCCCCGAGGCGCGAGATATGGGGAGATATGGCGAGATGTGGCGAGATATAGGGCACCGCCCCGAGGCGCGAGATATGGGGAGATATGGCGAGATATGGCGAGGCATAGGGCACCGGAGGCGAGCTTGCGGTAGAGGGGCCACCCGACGGCTGTGAACAGCGTCTCCCCACACGTCTGGCTGTGAACAGGCGAGCTCGCGCAGGCAGCCAATCCTCGACGGCAGCGGAAGCGGCGGCAGTGGTGGCGGCGGCGGCAGTGGCGGCGGCGGAGGCAGCTGCGGCGGCGGCGGTGGCAGCAGCGGCGGCAGCGGCGGCGGAGGCGGCAGCAGCAGTAGCAGCAGTAGCGGCGGCAGCCAAATCGGCGGCGGCGGCGGCGGCGGCGGCGACGACGACAACTACGGCGGCGGCGGCGGCGGTCGTCGTTTGCCTCTCGACCTTCCGCCGGGGTGGGTGGTGGAGGAGAGGAGAGGTCTTCCCGGGAGGGCGTACAAGCGCTACTTCGGCCCTGCCGGCCGCACTGCCCGCTCTCTGCCTGACGGTGGCGGCAGCAGTGCGCGCACGAGGGCGGCGGCGGCGGAGGA